TAGTAAAAGCAAGCCGCACTGGAAACTGTAGTCGTTTAAATTAAAATGGTATATCAGTCGGAATCTTTGGGATGCGTGGTATCAAAACGTCTTCTCTATTATACTTTCCTTTCATTATAATTGCTTCTATCACGTTGTTCAATAATTGTTTTATCGCTAACCGTGTGCCGTTGCAAAGACGCGGTTGTTTGATATTTCTCAACCAGCGAGTTTAAAAATTCAGGCGGATAGTTAAATATATATCATCTCGGTTAGTAGCCGAATCAACTTATATATCCTCAATTCTCCTGTAATTTGATTTTAAATTTTGAAATTTAATTCATTTACATCTATGTTTTTTTGCAGCCAATATAGCCCGTTCGCTCAACTAATCATGGATTCTGTAATTTTAAGCAACGTATAGAAACACCTTCTGGAAACAAACATCGGTTTGTTTAACAGATGCAACAACATGAAAACTGATGCAATTTATGTCGAGTTCCGAAACTAAAACAAAAGAACCAATATTGCTAGGCCAATCAAATCTATCGCTGTTACATTTTTTTACTTTTTAATTTGGTCGGTTTCACGATATTATCATTTTTATGTAAACGCATTAAATCATCCAACGCGAACACGCACACACACGAACGCGCCAACATACGAACGCTCACACACATACATTTGATTGAATTTGAACTTTGTGCAGCGACAATAAAGCGCAAATTGAATCTTCAACGCTAGAAACACACCTACATTGTTTAAACAAGAGTAAGTGCTTGTAATTTAATATAAACTTTATAGAATAACAATAAAGTTCAAATTGACTCTATATTTAGTTAGAAAATATTTGTATGGAAAAAAGAAAAGGGCTGTTTTAGGGTTTTCCCGAAAATTGTTCGAATTTTTTATGCCGTTAAAACCATCCTTAAAATTTCAGGAATATTTTAAAAAAATAATGGTTAAGATTGGTCCATGCGTTGTTAAGTTATGAGCTTACCAACACATTTTGCGATTCATTTTTACATTATAGATAATGAGATTTGTTTCTTTGATTTTTCTTATTTATATTCTTTAATTTATGAGTCTTGTATGAGTATTGCGCTCTGTTCTTATTGTCCCAGGCTTGTTTGAATATCTGTAATTTCTCGAAGTCCCTCTATTTGATGTAAGTTTCATGATCTTTTATCTTGACACTTAGTGGTCTTGCGGTGTTTGTGAAATAGAAATTTTTTGCATTAACAGCATTATCTATGTGTCCCTTTTACATGTCCTATTTTCTGGTTAGTCTACTTTTTATACCTATCGTAAAGAAATGGCTAAAAAAGAACCAAACATGGTTTCATCTTTTCTTCTCCATTTCATCAATAATTATTAGAAGACCATGTTGAAGTACTGCAAATATTTCTCTGTGACTCTGCCGGGGGACAGAATAAAAACTTTACCATTTTGCAAATTATTTATTTTGTAGCAAACAACAGAATTCATAATCTGAAAGAAATACATATCACATTCTCTGTAAGAGGACATTCCATTTAAAGTGTGAGAAAAATGTATGATTGTGTGATTTGAAGTGCTTCTTTGAGGTCCAGGAGAAGTTTGAAGCAGTCATTAGGCATTCCTGTCCCAAACCACCGCCGTTTGTTTATAACGAGCATGTCACAAAACGTGTTACTGGATTGGAAATCATTTTTAGATACAATATATTTACAAATATGGCCATTTAAAACTTAGAGTTTGAAGGCAATAGTGGCATCATCTAATCATAGCCGCCTTATCTACTACCGTTCAATATTCAATCGACAAGTACTATCTGGAATAATACGAAAACGCTTTGACCAAATCTCAGCTTTAAGATGTGGAAAATTTTTGCTGCCTGTTCCGGTATACGATGGTAAGTTATAAGAAACTTTTAAATAAAAATAAGATTTATTAATTATTTAATATTTTTACTATAGATCCGTTACCAATTTAAAAGGCTAAGTTTAAACGACCTAAAAAGTCTTTTGGTTTTGCAGTCCAAAAGCAGTAGGGTAAACTGGTCCATAGTGGGACGTTTTTTTTTTCAAAAGTGTATAGCACCTTGATTAAGCGTTTGTAAATTATAGTAAGGGTACCTATACATGGGTATGAATGTAAGGAAGCAAACTAATAATAATTTCAAGTAATCCTTGATTTATAATAAATGTTATTCAACAAGTTCCACTATGAACCACTCGTCCCACTATGAACCACTATGGTCCATTGTGGGAATCATAGTGGTCCATAGTGGGATTTTTAGTAAAAAACTCTTTTATTCTATTTTAAATTGTAACAAATTAACAGGAAACATAAACTGGCGAGCAGCCCTAGCTGTACTTCCACTAATGACAGGAGGGGCAGTTTTAATAAAATATCTTCTGCTTCTACGCAAATTTGCCGGCGACAATTCTCTTCATGAAAGAGATACTATATTCATCTCCACTTATATTAATAACCTGACCGACATAATGTTTAAACAGTTTTTTTTTGTCAGGTATCTTACTATAACATAGTCATAACTGAATTGACAAATCTTTATTTTCTGAAGTGAAGCTTTCTAAATCGCTAGAATCATTGCAGATTTCTTCATTAACATAACTGTTCGAACTAATATCGTCATGAAAAACTTGACGTTTAACTTTTGTAGCCTTCTGCTTTTTCTCTTCTGAAAGTGGTTTTTTTCGCCAATCTTTCTTTATGCTGTTCCTCTATGACATCTTTTATGGGAGTGTCTATTATTATTGCTGACTGTAGCTTCTTTCTGCTTCTTCTAAAGTTTTTCCTAGGAGCAGCTTTGGCATGTGGCCTAATTTGCTGAGGGGTTATTATATTGGATGGGCCATTAATTGGGCTGACATGTCGTGGTTCTTTTACATCCTGAACATCTACATCCTGAACATCTTCTACATCCTGAACACCTTCGTTAGCCTTATGTTCGTTACTATTTTCATTTTCATTTTCTTCGGACCTATCAGTGACATAAGATGACATAAAATCACTCTCTGAAAAAATTTGGGAATTCAGGGGCGCTATGCCTGTTTTTTTAAATCCGTTAAGAATGTTTACAGGAGTGAATGCTTTAAGGTAGGCGGTACCAACAACATTACAAACATCATAAATGCTCATAGATATGGCAGGATGATTTAGCATCCAGTCATCAACTTCTTCGTTATAATAGCTTTTAAATAGAAAGAAGCAACTCACGTCGAGCGGTTGTCATTTATGACTGCAATGGGGCGGCAATGTCAATAAAATAATCCCATTCTCTTTACATGGATTCAGCACACGAACATCGTAACGGCTCTCATGGTTGTCAGAATTAGTAGAACTGGAATTCTTTACTGCATCGCACGTGTTTCATAAATTACTCTATATACTTTAAAAAATTATCTCCCGTCATCCAACCAGAAGAAAACGCTGCACCGGCTGATCTTAGAGGAGCCCCAGTAAACATAAAACATAGGCTTAAATATTTTCCTCGGGAATACAAAGAATAGAGGCACAAAAGTCCCATTAGCGCATATTGCAGTGCACATTGTTATTAATGTGCCTCTTCTAGCGCTTGTCACTTTTCAAATTTGTTTTTGTTTAATGCTAGCAAGCACCTTCCTGGGCTTATGCACATTGGTGACACCAGTCTCATCACAATTGTATATCTGGTTTGACTAGATATTATATTTCGTTATTACACTTCTCAGGTTTGTGAAAAATGTAGCCACATTATGTTTTTTGAAGCTGGTGGCTCTGCCAAGGCTAGTTGCTTCTGGTTTTCGAAGCGATAACATAGGGTGTCGTTTCCTAAAATTATTTAATCATTCGACTCCAGCTCGTTTTTTCTCGTGCCAAGTTCGAGGCGCCGTTTTATTGTTAGTAATGGCATACTTATAAGCAATTCACGAGTATGTATTAATGTTAAGCCGTAGGACATTTCATAAGCCTGAATTATGTACTCGCACAATAGCTGTTCCTCTCTACTTGTAAATTTTCTTTTGAAACCATGACATGACATTTGATTTTTTACAACATCTTATACTGCAGAATGCATAGATCTTGCATATACTTCATGATTCTCTAGGCTTTTCTCAAAAACTACTGACAGTCGGGATCTTGGATATCTCGGCATATTCAATTCTGCAAAGAATGAAAATGTTTAGCATGTTTTAGTATATTTCAGTATATACCGCATTCTATTATCATATCCCAGTATGGACCACTTTTTTATTCCAACTATGGACCATGGTCAAAATACAAATGAGCAAACATTTTATTGAAGTGGTAGAGCTAGGTTTAACTAGAATACGATAATATTGAGGTTTTGTATGTTTTAGATATCCATACCAAATTCAAGTGAAATAGGATACATTTCGGCGAATTATTCGAAAAAATCTGAACATTTTTCTGAACAAATTTATGATAGCACACACACTGAAATATAGCTTTACCGCGATAATAAAATAGACAGGAGAGTGAAATTCCCACTATGGACCGCGTCCCACTATGGACCAGTTTACCCTACATTTTTAGTAAGTAGTAAATAGTAAGTTTAAAATATTCACATGTTGATATATAAATAAATATTAACAAATACATTAATTTTCTTTTTAGTTTAAAAATAAAGTGGTGTGGTTGCAGCTCAAGGCAATTATTCAGAGCAGCTGCCTCGAATGTCAGAATAGCCATGATGATTGCCAACCTCGTCGCGGAGATGGCATTTAAAGAAGAATATCAGGTTTATCCATATTTTCGTTTACTTCTGGCTCAACATCACTATCAACACTATGATTTACTGATATTTAACTGCGTCTTTTAGAAGGCTTATCTAAATTTGTGTCCAGAAAATAAGATATGTACTAAGATAAAAATAAGAAGTGTTATATTTAATTTAAAAATTGTGTTTTTATAAAATATTAAATTAAAACAAAAAAAAATAAAATTAATTTACTGTTATTCAAAGAAATGACATATCTGGTTTTTATCCCGTACCCTTCATTTACACTTACCCATAAATACAATGGCCAGCTGTTACAACATGTTTATTACTAACTATTGCACCTCCACAAATCTGAGTATTTCTATACAGTAGACCAATTTGGTAAGGGTAATCATTGATATTAGCATCAACTCCACCTACTATTCTGTGCCTGGAACTGACTTCTATAACCACAAGGCCTTAAAAAAATAACAATCAAAAGAATTAAATAAAGTTTATAGACATACAATCGACTATAAAGTCACAACATACACGCTTACTTAAAACCTAGTTAAGAGACACAAAATGAAAACAGTACGATTAAGATGAGAATAAACCTTTACCGTGTGACTGACTTTAACCAGAGTAGTCTAGCTTTTGTCTCTTTATTATATTCACCAATTAAATTGTTAGGTTCAGCCGTCTAAGGCCCTATTCATTTCTTACTCTTTTGAACTAGCTTAATTTTAGTAGTCGTTTGAATACCCACATTTCAAAGGCTTCTAAGTAACGCTAATAAAGCGTTTAAGCATTTTACTCCACTTTCACCCTTTCACTCCATGTAGTACGATAGAGTGAAATAAGTTTATAGATATGGTTAATATGGATTTATCTTTTAACGTACGTTTAATATATGTAAATTTAAAATTTTTTTCTACGATTATTTGTTTTGCGAATTTAAAAAAATATTGTGGTTATTATTTGATAATGTCCTAAGAAAGCAACCATTCGAATGTGCTTGAAAAAATTGTATATACTTACATCCTCTCTTCTTCTTCTTAGAGTGCCGACTCTCTACGTAGTTTGGCAATCATAATGGCTATTTTTATTTTAGAACTTGCTGCTCTAAACAAATCAATCGATCTGCATTGATACCAATCACGTAGATTCTTTAACCATAAGTTCTGCCTTCGGCCAACAGATCTTCTTCCTTGAATCTTTCCCTATATTATGAGTCGAAAATTTCATATTTTGGTCCCGTTATCACGTGGCCTAGGTATTCCAGTTTTCTGGTTTGTATAGTGGTGATTAGTTCTGTTTCTTTACCAACCCTCTCCAGTACTTCTCTTTATTTGTAATTCTATCAATCCAAGATATTTCTAATACTCTGCGGTATAACCAGAGTTGAAAAGCCTCGATTCTTTTTAAATTATATTTTTTTAATGTCCAAATCTCAGCTCCATATAATAATATTGAAAATACATAACAGCAAATGGTACGTAGTCTGATCTCCAAATTTAGATTTTTGCACGTTAGGAGTGGCTTCACTCGTATAAATGCTGATCTAGCAATCTTTATTCGCCTGTTTATTTCTACAGTATGATCATTGGTTTCATTGATCAAAGTTCCCAAGTAGTGATATTTTTTTCTTGTTCTATCACGTTACCATTGATTGTCAATAGGTGATGTATATTTTGTATACTCAAGCTTTCGATAAGATGTTGTAGATCCTACATACTCGTTACTATGATCACAGTGACATCTGCATATCGTAAGTTGTTAACTAATTTTCCGTTAAAGGTGACTCCTGCTTTGATATTATTGTGCGTGTTTTGGAAAACCTCTTCAGAATATAAGTTTAACAAAAGTGGCAATAAAACATATCCCTGTCTAACTCCTTTAGAGATCTTCATTTCTTCTTATCATTGCCCATAAATTTGAACTATGTATCCGCGTTTTTTCTTATTTACCTTACAAAAGAAATAAGCTAATAAGAAGCCGGAGATGTTAATAAATTTTAAATTTTCTTCACTTTGCCAGTGCTCCAAAAAACATATGACGTCATATAATTTTTGACACCCAAGAAAAGCAACCTTATTTGAAATACACTGCAAATTAACATGAAACATGTTTAAACGGTGGGTGTTGAATAATATAAAAACTCAATTGCAAGATAAAAATGGTAAAATTTAAAAAGTATTAATAGTGTAAACATGTAAACAGAATGTATTCAAACAATATTTTAATGTTTTTTAGATGCCTTAATAATCTATAAAAGTAACACTGACGATATTAAATCATTGGATTTTCGGGTTTATATATAATGATGCTGCTTTTAAGTATCTATTGGAAAATCTGATAAAAGAACAAATACCTCTTCCTTAGAATCAATCTTTTATTTTATACATCTCTCGTCGTAACTCTAGGCTTAACCAAATTTTTTGGCGATATTTAAAAATGATTAAAAGCAAAATTTAGGATTGAATGTGTAATGAGAATGTATAAATCTAGATAGGTAAAGAAATAATAAATAAGACTTACTCACAATCAATTTAATTTAACTATCAGACGACCGGTTTTCGCTTTCTACAATATGCAAAGCATCCTCAGGTCTCGATACAAAGTTAAACAAATGATGCCGGTACTCTATTAATTGATGGATGGTAGAACATGGTCGAAACTACTATGTATTGTTGAATGGAGAACTCAATTCTATTATTGCAGTCGTTTGACAGTAAACGGGAAGTTCTTGAGGAGATAGATTTGATCCAATGAAGAAGAGATATGTGTATGATTGTTTGTTAAATGAAAGTGATGTAATATACCATTGTGTTATTAAAAGCTATTTATACTTATTCGAGAGATATATTTTTAAAATGTGTGTTATTTATTGAGTAATTGTTTTATGAAGGTGACAGTTTTATGACAATGAATAAGTTTAGATGTAAAAATTGTGTGGGTGTGCAATTATTTTCCAACTTGTAGTTATCAAATTACTTTGATAAAGTTCTATTGGCAATTGGTAAATTATTGGAAAGTCAAGTAAATAAAATATTTAAAATACAAACAATTAAGGACAATTTAAACACACTAAAACAGAAAACACTTAGAAGGGACGAAACAAACATTGAATTTAAAAGGGGGAAGGGCTCTTTAATGCACTACATCGTAGTCTTGGGCACAATGAGTTTTTTTATTTTTATTTATATAAAAAAAACTCATTGTGCCCACTCATTGTTACCTATTTGAAATGGACTCACGCAAGCAACACATTCATGATTTGTACAAATCTAGCTTTGTTTTCTCTGTTTGTTCTTATGCTATATATTTACCTCCAAGTCGTTATCTGTCTTGTGTTGTAATAAAGTCGCTATGAAAGGCACCTTAGCGTGAAAAGTATCCCTATATTATGTAATCTCTTGTTGGTTCTAAATATTCACTTTAAGTTGGCTAGCGCCCTGAGTGGAACGAATGATCGAATGATGTTTTGTCAATCTACTGATTCTTATGATATTGATGTTTACAATATATTTTTAATTTGCCTCTAGGCGAAGTACTATTTAATTAACAAATTAAATAGGTCAATACATCATTAACAAGTTCAAGTAGTCAAATACATTATCGCGGCTGAATGGATTAAGTTATTGAAACCCAAGAATTAAATAAAAAAAATCAATATAGAAAGCCTTTAGGTCTAAAAATCCTAAAAGTCAATATTGTAAATAAATGAACAAATGTTTACACAAAAATATTGAAAATTAGGAGTATAATCTTATTTTAATTTTTGTCTGTATAAATCAATCGTAAACTCATCACATTAATTGAAAAAATATTTAAAAAAAATTTGATAAAGCAGAAAATATATGAATTACAGCTTTAAGTGACACTTAAAAAATTTTAAAATATAGCAAGCATATCACCTACCTAATATTATCAAAGGAGATAAAATCTTGAAAAACATCATTCCTCACATGAGATATCTAATTAAAACATTGTTGTGGCATATAATATTTATAATCTATTTGAATAATTCTGGTATCATAAGTCTGTAATATCTGCTGTGGATATAACAGTGTTGACGTAGGTGTATATAATTCCCTTGACATAATGTAGGTAAAAAATCATAGAATTGAAAAGAGAGTAGTAAATAATGAGGAATTTTATTTGTCTGAAGTTTACATATTGATAAGAAGTATATAATTTTCTTAGTAATCAACAGTCGAATCAAACATACAATTTTAAAAGAACTCAATATCTAAGAGTTACTGTGAATGTACGCTTTATACGTTTACAATATATTTCTTACAATTATTTACCGTTTTTATTACAGTCCTATAATTTAATATTGTATGAAAGTGAGCCTATGGCCCAGTCAGGTTATGCAAAAATCATCGATTTCATGGCAAATTTTTCGCAGATATATGAAGCTTTTAAGACATGGGTGAAGGATACTAGATGAGGAATATACGAAAAAGTACTCGTATTTGTACCTTTATATTTAATATAATAATTTATTGTCACAGTTTGAAGTTTTTTCGCTCATAGGGTAAAGTAAAGTATATTCGTGATAATTATAGGTTATTTAATTATTACGGTTAAAGTTTTTAATTTCATACCGTAAAAATATTACCAAAAGGGAGACTTATCACTCAGTAACAACTTTAAGTTATTAATTTGTGTAAAAGATTCTTCTTCTGCTTAGCCTTCTGTCGTCCATGTTTGGACATAGGCCTCTCCCAACTCCTTCCATCGGTCTCTATCCTGAGCAACATATTTCCAATTTGTTCCGGCTATTATTTTAATGTCATCAATCCATCTCATCTGTGGTCTTCCTCTTGATCGTTTACTTTCGTGAGGTCTCCAATGTTGTATTGTAGTATTCCAACGTTGGTCTTTCTGTCTAGCAGTGTGGCCCGCGAAGCTCCATTTAAGTTTGGCAATTTTTGTTATGTCCTCGACTTTTGTCTTGGATCTTACCCAGTCGTTCCTATTTTTATCTGACAGTCGTATACCTAACATTGCTCTTTCCAATGTTCTTTCTGTTGTGGCTAGTTTATTCATGTTTGCCTTGGTTAGGGTCCAGGTTTGACGTCCATATGTCATGATAGGAAGGATGCATTGGTTAAACACTTTGCTCCTCAAGTATTGGGGTATTTTGCGATTCTTAAGTATCCAACTAAGTTTTCCAAATCCTGCCCATGCTAGCTCTTCTAGTAATTTCCGCACTTTGGTTCTCTTTGCCAAGTCTCAGGATTTGGCCTAGGTAGATATATTCCTGGAGTTGTTCTATCTCACTGCCGTTTATAGTTATATGTCTGGGGTCTTCTGTGTTTGTCATTATTTTTGTTTTTTTCATATTCATTTTCAAGCCGACGTATTGGGAACTGGCTGCTAGTTCCCCCAACATAATTTGCAGTTCCTCGAATGTGCTCGCTATAATCACTATGTCGTCAGCGAATCTGAGGTGGTTTAACTTGTTGCCATTAACGTTAATGCCATAGGTTGACCAATTTGTAGTTCTGAAGACGTCTTCTAGAGCTAGGTTGAAAAGCTTTGGCGATATTACGTCTCCTTGTCTCACTCCTCTCTTAATGGGGATGGGATTTGTATTTTCGTCTAATTTTTTGTATGTTGTCGTGTAAAAAATTATAAAGTTTAATAATTTATATATTTTCATATTTCGTGATATACATATTCAATTTCGTGATAGAGGTAAGGTAAATTCGTGACAATCCAATTTGTGTGCATTAAATTAGTTTAATAATAAAAATTTATTTATTAGGAATTTCTTAACAAATCCAAACAAAATTAGAATTCTTTAACACAAGAAAAGTAAATCCATATTTAAAAAAAATAAAACAAAACTAAAGTAATTAAAAACTAAAACAGGTGGTTGACTTAATCTTCTTAATAACTTAATTAACTTAACTTAATCTTTTTCAGAATCACTAATGGTGTCTTCATTGTTTTCACACATGTCGCACACAAAAACGTCCTCTTCGACATCAGATGATTGGCACATAACATGGTATGGAATCATGCAGTAGCAAAACTGGACCCGTTTGGCACCATTTTTTCTTTTGACATCTAATGAATAACTATTACCACACATTTACAATCGCAGTCATTTTCTTCAGAAACCACTTTTTTAAGGTTTTTGATTGATTGTGTCTAGAGCACAGGATGATGACATAGCGTCGTTTACTGCCAAAACCAGATAAGTTAATTTTTTACCATGTTTGAGTTAAGTGTATTTTCATAATCAAAATCCATATATAAATGTACTGTGTAAAACAGATGTCAGTGTCTGACTATGGAAAAGAGGTGAATTATGTAGGCTTGTTTTGGCAATTATTCATTTTGGTCAAAACTGTACAACTGAAACAAGTTATGTGCACATTTAACAAAATATACAAATTTCATATGCAAAAAGAAAATTAATTCTTCTAGAAAAACCGCTTAAATGCCGTTTAACTTATTTTTTCTGTTATAGTATAGTAAATTTATAGAATGACTGTGCGTATAAAACAGATAAGTGCAATTATCTTGTTTTGCACTTTATTTTATCCTTACTTTAGCATGCCCAAGTGTGCAAAACCAGATTAATGTCATTTAACTTCTCATTTCATTCAATTGCAATGCTACAATTTCAGAAGAAAGAAGAGTGGTGTTATGCCAAAACTTCTGGACCTTGGATTTTAACCGGCAAAAGGACTTCATTCTGAATAATGCAGATAGTGCTAGGCCAATAAGAATAAAAAGTAACCCGTCTGATAAAAAAATGCCGCGTATTAATTCAAAAGAATTCTATTTCAATTTTGATGATACAAAATTACGAGTCTGCAAGCTTTTCTTACAAAAACTCTTTGCATTAGCAAAGAAGTAGTTGAGCATGCGTTTGCGAATAAGGGTGAAGGTAAACTAATTACAGGATTCGAATAAAAGAGGTAGAAGATCGCCGAAAAACAAAACAAACATTGATGATATCGAAAGGGTAAAGCAACATATTGAAAATTTTCCAATACTGGAGCACCACTATACGAGATGTTCTACCAAACAAAAATATCCAAATTGTAAATTGAGTATAAATGCAATCTACTCAATGTAGAAACCATTATGTGAACATGATGGTACCTCACCTGTATCTTCAATCACTTATAGATCCATTTTTATAATAATTACAACTATTCTTCAGCTACTTCTACAACAACTAGCTTCATGGAAAAAGGGGCAGCTTAGAAATTGGCACCTGCCTCTTTTCTTATATTCTTATATACATCCACTAGTGTAAATGCATTATCAGTGTTTTCCGACACTTGCAGTGGACAAACCAGGAACCAAAATGTTACTTTATTTGGTTCAAAAAAAATCCCATCCTGATGATTATAGAGCAAGAGTTTCTGGAAAGTGGATACAGCTACATGGAAGTGAACAGTATGCACAGTGCCATTGAACAAGTCCAGAAGTATGTTCCTGTATATACAATGCATGATTGGCTAACAATATTTCGCATGGCCAGCACAACATCATCAAAAAGAAACCGTTTGTTGTGCAGGAATTTAAATATAAAAATTTTCTTGAGTTAGAAGGCCTTTCTAAGCTTATTAAAAATAAAACGAGAGACATAAAAACCGAAAAAGTAAACTGGTTAAAAGATAAGTGTTTTCGATACTAAAAGACCAAACCAGGAATTCTTGAATATAGGTATGATCATACCTCAGAATACAAAGAGGTAAACGTTTTTGATAATTTAATGATAATGATAAGTTAATGATACTTTAAGACAAGTTTCAAATTATGCCAATCAGTTCAGGAAAAATAGGTTAGGTATAATTTTTTTTTCCATTTTTAAAATTTTTTAACATTTCTTCCTTATTTATTTTTTGATTTTTGGAGTTAATTATCTTCACAGTACCTCAAATCTATGTTATTTTATCGGTTATTAGATGTTTCCTTTCATGTAGTTGTTTTACTGTAGGCTTGAACTTTTAAACTTGATTTTCAAAAAACTAAGAAAATGTAACTTATCTGGTTTTGGTTGTAAACCGATGACAGATGGTGCATGAATTGGTGAAGAAGGAACAACACTTTCAGGATTGAGGCCTAATACACATGGTGATGATGTAGATGCTGTATCGCTTATTGAAGAAGGCACACTTTTAGAATTAAGGCACTTTGATCTTGAATTGCGTTTCTTTCTATTCGGATTTGCAGCAAATGGCTTTGTTGGAAGAGACAATATGTTACCAATTGGATTTTGTTGAGTAGGAGCTCCTGCACATTGATTAGGTATCTTATTGGAAGTGAGTAGAGAAGGCGCAAGAGCTTCCTTAGGAATGGCATTTCTATCAAAGGGGCATATCCCAGATTTTCTGGACGCATTTATAATGTTTAATGCGGAAAATCTTTAAATGTATGCCGGATTCAGTATGGTGTGAAATTTGGTTCTATTGGGCTTCTCTGCATTGTTTTTCATATCAGCATTTAAGAATTTAAGCTTTTGGCCCAATGAGCCGTTAATTACTTATAAACACCTACACCAAGTGGCTGTAATAGATGGCTAGTGTGGGCCGGAAATGTAAATAAATAAACAGCATTTTGAGACGCAAGATATATAACTGCCGGATTGATGTGTGATGCATGGGAATCCATTCATAAAGTTACTGGTCGGGCAGAGGGAATTAAGGCAATAAAGAATTGAAATCACTCCAAAAAGATCTCACTGTTGATCCATCCTTTTGGAGAAAGTTTTACTTGTGTATTTGGTAGACAATCTTTCTTTAAATTATCGTTCCATTGAACCCCTTTAAAAAATAATGAAAGGTGCAATTCATGTTCCATTGGTACAAATACATCATATCATGGTTTAAGATTTGCCTCTATCTGCATAATAATATGCTCTTTTGTAGACATAACGTTTTCCAACCGAGGTAACGACTTTACTTGGTTTGACCACATAAGTTAGTCCGGT